TCCGCTAAACAAAGCCATGACCCATTATGGAGTTCGACTGTCGTCCGGGATACCTAAACAGCGCTATTTAGGGATAGCACTGTTGATTCCCTGGTGTAGAGGGGACCCGGGAAGGTGTCCTAAACAAATGACGGGGAATCACGATATCTGCTTGCAAACTGTGGCTCTTGGATGCAAAACTCGCGGTCGGCGCACCACAATGAACAACAACCAACCGTGTGCCCCCCCTCCCTCCGCCCCAGCCCACAGGCTGTGAAGGTAAGTCCCCCCCTCTGCCAGCATGGAATATTCGTTCCCTTTTAGGCAATCCGAGGAGCAACCGACCGAAACAGCGGATGGTGATAGTCACTCGAGAAATGGCGTGCCATAAGGTAGACATCGCTACCCTTCGCAGGACACGGTTCTCTGAACAGGGCCAGCTGGGGGAGGTGGGTGTTGGCCACACCCTCTTCAGGAGCGGTCGAGAATCCGACAAACGCTGTTAATTGAGAACTTTTCCAGTCAAAAAATAGCATGGAAATAGACCGAAAATGAGCATCGAATCTCCCCTTTTTTCTTCAATAAAGCCTGATAAAATAAATTGCCTCGACTTCTGCGATCGACGGCTTTATTTGGATTGTAAAACTTGGCTTGCCAAAAAGGCCTATTCATGTGTTGAACTTCAGTCTCCAAGCATTTTATCCACCCCTGAGGCTGCTTTTATTGCGTAAGGCAAGACGTGAAATCCAGAATCCAAGAGCAGGAGCAGGAAATTGTACATCTTTCGGGTCGGGCGTACCGGTTCCATCTTTCTAATTTACCAAAAGATTCCTACTTGATATTACTTAGTAGAACGGTTATATCAACTGGCTAACTACGTAGACCTTACACGGCTTCTCCGGATTCCTAACCGAATTACATAAGATAAAAGAATTAATGTACTGCAGCTGTACTAGTCACCTCTTTGATCGTCGTTGTTGTCGGAAAGAACAAATAACAGAAGTCCGCGCCGCAACATATTCGATTGCCATCAGACGGTTTCCTAACTGTCAGGTTAGCACTATGAACTACAAACCGGGACAATGCATCGCATTTAAATATGCACATTCTCCATTGACCTGTGCCTCAAAATAACACAGTATTCTCGGGAAAAAAGTGCGTGATTGCACACTCGCAGATGCTCTTTTCGTCCTCGACCATGTCAGAGTTAACTTGACCGGTCCCGCTCCGTTGACCCGTCTTGCCTCTAACGAATCCCGCTGCCATATGGTGGAGGCTTCCATTATTGCCGTTGGTATGGTGCTGTGACAACATCTCCTCGACTGGACGCAAATTCCGACTTTCTTCCCTTAAAAGTCACTACCTGTGGCACGTTCGGCCAAGGTCTTCCTGCTGTCTAAGAATTGTTTCGGGTATTTACAAGTAGCTAGTCTACCGCGTTCACATATCACAACCCCCTCATCCTTGCCCTCTAGTGCCAACCAGACCTACTCAATCGGGGAGAGATTTGTCCGCTGGACTACTTCTCGTAATACACTTTGGACATCCACCACACAAATGGAGCGCAGAATAAGGTTGCTGTCACCGTGTCCAGGCACTGTCTCTCAACTTCAGTTTTCTCCAGGAATTAGCCTCACCGTCCTATTGAGCAGCAAAGCACCGACTCCCTTTTGACGGGCAGGACCCTCGTCTCCAACTTGAGGTTCTTCTTCTCAAGACTGACCACGGCACAATCTAATGGGACATCTTCACGGCCTCCAGCCGTCCGTCTTTGCCCCCATCTCTCCACCTCGAGGTAAGTTTTTTGAACAACCTCTCAAATCCAAGAGATGATGGTTAAACAATTAGTCAGTCTGAAAAACGCATAGACCTGAAGGCATGCACTCGGGTGATAGGACTGTCACCGACGTAACAAGGGTCAAATCGGTACTTCCCAAGCCTTGGAGCTAGGCTCCGTCATGTTTGCCTGGGTCTTAAAGGCTCCCCGTCTTCATCGACTGACCGCTCCCCAACTTTCACTTAGCCGAAAGCTCCACTCAGTGGCCGGAGGTCACTTCCTTACCATACGCGGTTTCAGCAGTCGTCAGGGTCTTTTATATCCGCAGGATAGCCGTCTGCGGTCCCCGGTATCACCCTGGTTAATCGTGATATCATGTTTGAGTCTCAGATGGTCCAGTTCCTCTTCAACTTACTGAGTAATACTCCGGTCCGTAGCACAGCCTACCACCTGGCTACTAACAGGGTATTCGGGTCGTCTAATAGACATTTGAAGGCCATTATATAAGTCTTCGAGAGTCAAGAAGATTGGGCCTATCCTTCTCCCTGGTCCAGCATGGCATTTGTTCAGTTGTCAGGTCGGGCCTTTCCTGCGTTTTCCAGTGCTTGACTTCGTCGTCCGACTTCCATGAAATCTAGTCGTTCCTATCCACTCGTCGTGCTGAAGACCCCATCAGTCTCCTACGTCAGCCTATGCAGAGCCTTTCTACAGTTTCGGCACGGCTATTTGTCGGAGTCTTGCTCGAGAGACGTTAAGTAAGCCGCATCTATTTCTTCTTCCACTATAACGAAGGGCCCCACGCATCCTAACCTTCTGGGTTTTCAAAAGGGCTTGGGGCACATTTTGCGCCCAGCACAGTGATTGAAATGAAGTCCTCAGAGTGGATATGGCCAAAGCTGTGGTCCCCAGCACCCTTTTAGGTGTGTTCCCCGCTCGTCAACCGTCTGCTGCCCGCTGCTCCATCCGCTCCGTCCTATACGGCAATGTTAACTTGCACAACCCTTTCTCGTCTCATCTTATTCTATACGAAGCTTATGAACACACCTCATCAAGTATCACGCCCTCAAAGACTGCCCCACGCAACCCGAAATTGGCGTCAATCCCAAATTCACAAATACCTTGCTACTCATGCTTTTTAGGTAGGCTGTTTATTTAGATTCAGTTTAAGTCGCCAGTCGATGACACGGTGACGCATTTTTTGCTGAGCGCCCACGGCCCCGCGTGCAAGCTCGTTGGCCATTTAGGACGAGCGTACCCGGCCGCAAACGTGCCAGGTCATGTTTCTGGGCCTCGACTGCAGGCCTGGTCTCCTGAGGATCATGGTACTGATCGATGATTTGACATTTGCAGACTGGTTCCCAAGTAATACCCGCGAAAGCTGGGCGCACACAAAGCTTCTGCACTCCTCCACGAAGGTGGCCCGCCAGATTCGGTTTCTCTGATTTTTGACTTCAGCGTTGCTGACTTTTGCACGAAGTTAGTGCAATATTTCCGGTCCTTGAAAATCGCAGGCAAACGGATATCACTGTTCTATCAGGAACTTTAGACTTGAACTCTGCGGCCCTTCCTAAACTACCTTAACTCGGGGTAGCACAGCTCACAATTTCGGATACCTCCGGCCGTCAGGTTACCCGCAATGATGGTTCCAACACGACCACTGTCTAAATGCAAACATTCTAAAACCGGTGTTTTCCTAGTTTAAATCTTGAAGATCCACCTGAATAGAGAACAAAAGTGTGTATCCTTGGACAATAACTCGCTCAGCCATTCTCGGCTACGTCGCCAGGATCTCGTTGGCACGATTCTCGCTTACGAAACTTTAGGCCTTGACCAGCAGACTTCCAGCGATGTACGGGGTTGTTTGTGCGGCTATGGGCATAGCCACGTACGAGACTTTTTACGATGCAATAAAAAGCGCAGTGCTTACAATAACCAAGACGGCACGGGAGACACACTCGACCGGCTACTACAAGCGGTGAACAGCCACCTGCAGGCCTCTAAAAAAGCCAATAGACTGAGAGAAGACACGATACTAACCATTCAAGAGGGTGCGAGTTCCCCGTGGTTACCAACCCTTAGCAACAATTACACCTTCCCTGAGTTTCGTCCACAATAGACGATGAAGGGGCCGGACAATTATCTTTCCTTGACGCTCTCGTCCCACAAATCGCTGTATTGAAAAGCAACCAACAAAACCGACATCCTCAGCGATCTCGGCAACCAGCCGATGGTAAGCAGACTCAGGTGTGAGGGAGCCCCTGTAAAACGTAAAAACACACTGCAGCGAACCGCAGGCACAAGCACAGGAAAAACAGGGCCAACTGGCAGTGAATGCACATCCAGGAAACTTCATCGGCCGCCGCTTCCGTGGCTACCCAAGGACAGACGGTAGAGCCACCAACACTGCGGCACTCTCCATTGCATATAGCGTATTAGAAGCAACAGCCAGCTTTTGCAGTTAGGCGTGAGCACCGCACATCGTTCAGCGGCAACCAGGGTTGTGCGGATGAAGGACTGACTGAACGGGGTGAACAATCCGATGGAATGTATCAAATCTCACGTCACGACTGTCCCTGACAGTATGCCGGCAGGACAGTGCAACAACTTGGCTCACGAATACTCGAGCAAAAACTATTCGTTCGAAGAGGCGACCCGTTGTCCCAAGTCGCAACCCACACCCAGAAGGAAGACCACGAATTCGACTTTGTGGGCACGCGGATAATGATGTGGGACGGCAAAAATGCAGGCGAGGAAGTGCTGGCCTGGGGCTTTGACACCAACTCCATAAACGGACACGTCAACATAAACCCTGTTACCACGCGTTAGGCTTACACGGCCAAACGGAAGATCCAGTTCCCGGTCAAGGGCACACAGTCACCGCACCGTGAATTCGACTGTGTGAATCCAGTACTGCACCCGAAACAATTTATCCATTCTCTTTTCCCCTCCCTCGTTATCTGGCTGCAAAACTATCTATTTTTTGTTGCCCTGTGAAGATGGGCTTCTGTGCGGGTCCAGAAACCGTTCTGGTGATCACATGTCCCTCTTCGTTGAGACTAAAGTTTGCTTTGCCTACTTCACTTCAACATAAACTCACGACTGTCGACTTTTAACTACAATTATTTCGTTCACAGAGGGAGACCAAAACAGACTTTCATACAAGTAGATGAACTGTTTTTTTTGAAAGGCCGAAAACCATACGTAGGATTAGTCAAAAGCAACTCGCGAGGCAAATAACAAATAGTCAGCCTGAGACAAATTCCCCTTTGGCTGCTTCCAGGTTGCGTTGAATCTTCTCATCGACAGGAATATTGCGTAGGCTCGTGGACCGATACTCGGTCGGTCTTTCGTTCTCTAGGCAAATTAGTTGGTCCACAACCTGCTCGATGATGAAGATAAGGTTGCGCTGAGTCTGAAGAGCCCGGCTACTGCCAAATCCATCCTCAACTTCTGACAGGAGCCTTTTCTCTCGCATGCATTCAAAATTGTGTAATTCCCGAAGGACGAAGTAGGTTCCCAAGGAACGGAGGTGGGACCGACCAACGGGAGTAGAGCACAGCTAAAAATGAGGTTACATCGCTATCATAATCAGCAGCAGTACCATCACCATCATCACAGTATCATCTCCCTCAAGCCTACGCAGTGCGCCAAAGTTGTCAACAACGCAGCAGACTGATGGGTGTAAGCGAAATATATTCCTTAAGTCTGTTAAATCGCCAGGGCTTTGAGAAGAAGACGTTCCCAGCAGCAAACCCTCGCGAGATGAAGGTACACCTTGTTACTAGTTTTCGATAGTTGGAGGAAACAGGCTGCTTCAAATACCACGAGGTTAGTACTCTCAAGTGGATATTGATGCTGGTAACAGAGCCCTTACCAGTCTATCAGATACGTGTGCATAGGTCGGTCGAGGCATCTCAAACAGGACAAGAGTTTCCATTTGCAAGGCATACCTTAAGTATTTCTAAATGACGGCGTAGGGGGTTTTTAACCTGAGCAGTCATAATTCGCTGTTGACAGTTTTACCGCTGCATTGAGGGAATTTCTTTGTTTTCGAGTTTTGCTTTGTTCAGATAGCATCTATCCGTACTATCACAAGAACGTTAATCTACGCGTAACTCGTGCAAGCGACATGGACCAAAACGTCTGGCTGCCAGACGAGGCCCCGTTTTCCACGGAGACTGCCGTAAGGCAGAATAAATAGAATGGGATCTGCAATATATAAACACCAGTAGGGAAAGAGTATTTGGATCGGAGTTCCCACCGGCCAGACATGATACCTCTGCTACTGCAAACAAGACTATGATTCAAAATTCGTAATTCGAAAGCTAATACCTGGGCAGTAATGTGAGGAATTTTCGCAAGTTTTGTTGCTGAAATGAAGTAGCGGCAAGGAAAACTGCTATCGGAGTTTACAGCGTCTGGTAAAATAAATATTGCAAGACGGCCGGGCGCCATGTTTTCGTGTCTCAACGGTTGGTGGTCAGCAGGTGTTTGTACCTCAAGTTTAAGTGTCCGCATAATCTGTAGATGGCTCTCAATAAGGAGGGCCAAACCATTTGTAGTCTTTGGGCAACTACCACGCAGGTACATATTTTTCTGGATGCACCAGTGATCGCCTCGCACGAAGCAATGCCTAAGCGAGGACAGACCAAAAGAACAGTCGACACAAGAGTCAGCAACTATCACCATATTTCAGATACAGTATGAGCGCAGTGCGCTTGTGCTGGGCTCCACTGGTAACCCAGAGATTTTTGAACACAATTAATCAGTTCATACAACCGTGCAAAAAAATCCTCGTCAGATTGGGCACTTGGCTCCTATTCAGGCCAGTAGGACAGAAATTGTAATCACTTGCCTACCGGCCGTCTAGACTGACCGTACCAAGTCTAAATGTGTTAGTCAACGATATCGGATGTCATGACGCGAGTAAAAGGGTTCTCTAACAGTAGGGACAAATTACGGCAATGTCTCACTGGACGAATTGTCAAACAAATCGGAAAATTTTGCATATAATTCTTAGCGAGGCGATACAGGCCTGAAAGCAGTAAAAAAGCCGAAAATGATTAGCGTTAACTTGCGTGCTAGTGTTTGCCACAGAGCAGCTAAACAGCGGGTTAGAAAACCATAACGAGGCTTGTACCTGCAATAATGCTTCGCACATTGTCTTCTTTATAATGGGATCAGGCTCACGAAAGGCCTTCTCAGTTCCGTAGATAGGCCGTAAAACGGGCGAAAGACTTTGGATGTCCTCCGAACTTAGTTTATCTTCCGGACCGCAAAGACGCAATAAAAGTTTGCTAAAAAGATCATCGGCGGCAGAGCACAGATCAGGATGGAATTCTAAACACGAAACTTTAACTGACGTGCCCACTTACTGTCTTCGAAGCAACAGTTCTTAATTATACCGATCACCGAAGTCCGCTTGCTTGGGTCATCCGCACAGCCCTCATTTTCTAGAAGGGTTGTAAGAGATTTAGCGTTTGCGCAGATGTGGCGACGCATGTTATGGCTTGAAGTTAAATTAAGTAATAACTAAATGTAAGGAAAGTGTCACTTAGGTATACCTGCAGGTCCGCAGGCGAAGGTTTCGGCTCTCCGACTGTCTTGGTAAAAATGACTTCGCAGAGAGTCGAGTCGCAAAGTTCCTCCATCCACTCTTTTGTCTGAGTCAGATTAATAAGCAGGGATGTGCAAAGGAATTTAATCTCAGCATCTGTGTCCGAATACATTGTCCCGATCATACTGGACAGCAATTGCTGTCTTCTCGGGGGAGTACATGTACTATATATCTTCTGCGCCCTAGATCCATCGGAGGAAAAGTTGATAAGACACTTGAGGGCTAAGTTAAACAATTTATCCGATTCTATTGATTTAGAACAGAGCACTTCTTACTAAGCTTGTTTGCTGAGACCGACTTTGTCGTTTCGAGCAAAACTCCGACAAGCGTGTCATAGTACAAATTCAATTCGTCGGAAATTCCATGAATCGACCTCTCGTCTGACGAAACATGAAGCAGGGCTTCTAAAACTCCGGCATTGTCTGATGTCATCTGCACCTGTAACCGTTTATTGGTCGTGATGTGAGGTACACTTCAAGAACAACTCTAAAAGCGTGAAAATGCTAAAGAAAGATGATGAAAATTCAGTGATGACAAAAACAACGAAACATAGGCAAAAGACAATGAAGCAAGAACCAAAAGCGCTAGAAGCAGGCGCTTGCCCAGACCCGTCCAACCCCACACTTATTCAAAACAAGCACAACTCATTTATTCTATTGGTTGTCTATCTGTCGGAGGAGCACTCATGCCATCAATCAGAGGAAACAGACGAAACACATGAAAACATATTTTACGGCATCCCCGCAGAAGCACACAACCCATTTTGCATTTTCCACGTGATTTATGCCTAGCAAAGTTTGGAGCTAAGATTTAAGTACCTCCCTCCATTTTTCCTTTGTCGTCTTACACCCCTTTGAGCTTGTTCCGTCCCATCCATAGCAATTCAATTTGACTTCTTCATTATTATCTACTCTACCAGCTACCAATTCATATTTTGGCTGGTCTACGAACCTAGAATCACCAACCAGTCTTCTCGACAAAATTTGGTGTTATGTTGCGAAGCCACCGAGTCATCTTCTAGAAATGCCAGAAACTCAGTAATGCGTTGAACAAAACGTTCGTACACATCCTAAAGCAATCGATCTACCCGGAAATCCTATCCGTAGCGCTCCGTCAAAATCAGTACTTTATAGGAGGTCACCCACTCGAATCAGTCAACTAGTTAATGGTCCTCGGTGTGTGAATGACGTCAACTCTCAAATCATCGTCTCACTGCGCTAAGGTATCAAACAAAGCTATGTGTATCCTAGGCGCGATTAGAAGATCCTTCTGCAATTTTGACGAAGAACTTTTCGGCCGAGTATTTGGAGCATATGTTCGACTAATGTTGAACTATTGTGTTCAGGCATGGTGTCCCTGGACGAAATGAGATTACACCCTACTGGAGAACGTACAACGAAGAGCGACCAAGCTAATCGGCGGATTAAGTAGCTTAACTTATGAGAGACGCCTGGAAAAGCTAAAAATACTCCCTCTCTTATAGGCAACGGAGGGGGGATATGATCAAGGCCTTAATGATTGTCCAAGGGCTAGACAGTGCTCTTCAGTTTAACGATTTATTCGAAATGACGCGGACGATAAATCTTCGAAAGCACCAATACAAATTTAAGACAAAGTATGCCACACTGAAATTGCGGGCCAAATTCTTCTTCCACGGGCTGGTTGAGGGATGGAACAAATTGCCGAACTCTGTTGTCTTAGCGAAAAAGGTTGGGAACTTCAAAAGAAGACTAAATAAATTTGTGCTTGATGGTCAAACATTTATATGATATTAATGAAAGGCATAACTGCTATGTAAATATCTGCATGTTTTTTTCAAATATCTATCCGTAAATAGGGCCTTCCAATGTTCCGCTTCTATCCCTCATATATACTGAATTATAATCTATAATTTCGGCACCGTCCCTATAACCATTTTCTTTTTATTTCGAATGCGGTGCATCCGTTACACATAATGTCTGATCACATGATCCAGTAGAAATTAAATTTTCAATTTATGAAACAACAGATTTACATTGCTCGGTCCGAAAGCTTACGGCTGACGGCTTCCAAGGGTTTTGGAGGCAAACGCCCTAATGGATTTTGTGCCGCTAATGGAAAGCAAAATTCAATGCAGAACAAAATTCGTTATTCACGCGGCGCTGTGCGGTTGCTAGCATAGCGTGCGAGTGTGCCCAAAAGCGCAACTGGACGAGTGAGTTCCGTGAGCGATCGGCGAGCGCCCTTCCACGAAAATCCGATGTATGCAATTTTGACTCCAGAGAATGCCATTTTGTGTGATTTCATGTAAACAGCATCTTGCGTGCCCGTTCATTGCAAGAGTAGCTTTATCCAAAGGACTGCTGGGGCTTTTAAATTATGAATAGCTACGACAGTCAGAGCTGGCACCAGTGCGTGGAAAGTACCGACAATTCATCGGCGGTTGCATTGGCCTGTCACGATGGTATCGTCGAAAAGACAAAGTTTATCTAATCAGAAGTCAGGAAAGACGGGTTCGTTGGACAGCTTAAACTGTTGAGGATATACGTGCACATAGCCCTTTAAGCTGTCTTCACGAGAGCGCTCTTCAGACAGATTGTGTCGTCCTTGTCCGCCGTCGAGGGGCTCAAACCGCAGAGGAAGGTTTCCTTGATGGCGACTGGATCTATTTTAGCTCAGCATCTGTTGGATAAATTTGTTTAAACCTTCGAATTCGTTATTTATCACACACAAATCCGAAGAGTTAGCAGAATATCAGGAAATTACAATGCTAAGGGGGAACACTCTTAGTCTCACACAAGCATATGTACCTGCAATAAATGCAGTGCACGTTTTGAAGTTTACATGGTTAAGTAGTCTGCATGCCTCCACAAAATGCGTCTGTCAAAGCGATACATTAATGCCTCTATAAACTGAAACATAAAAGTCATCTGTGGCAGGTTATTACACAGTTAATTTAAGCTTATTTGATATAAAGAAGTGTGCATTCGTGAACTCTCTATTTTCTACAAACAATGAAAATATAGCAAAAAATCGGAAAAGTGCACAGCAAGCAATAAAGGACTGTATTCGGATATTAGTCGTAGTGCCAAAAAACACCGGCTAGGGAGACGTGTCTCGATCCCTATATGCGTGAGATACTGAACGTCTTTCCCCTATTTTAATGTGCAGTGTTTGTCCCTGATCATCCTTCACAGTAAATTTCCATCGACATAGTGAGGAACGTGCGAGTGAAGAGAAAGCGAGGGGGAACTTTACTCTGTTTCATCTCACTTGTCATCGTAGATACTTTCGAAACTGCTGCGTTTACTGTGACGCTAGTCATTACTCCGAGGTGAAGTCGTCGAACCATCCATTTAAAGCGTTTCCGACAACCAAATTTCAGCATTATTTCCAAAATTCCATTGTGGTCTACTATGTTGAGGACTTTTGTCAAGTCCGCGAAGTGGTTGTAGGGTCTGGTAAGCATTTGTCGGGAATTCCCTGGTAACAGCGGAAATAATGTCCATGGTGCCGCGGTCTCTTCGAAAGTCACAACGATCTTCAAAGGGAAATTCTCCTTCCAAAGTGGTAAGACGCGGGCAATAATCCCGCATACAAGGGAGGGGAATATGATGGCTCGATGGTTGCTGCACAGTTCGTGGTTTATGTTACGTTTGTATGTGATCGATGGTGACATCATCTAACTATTGAGTGCTTTGTCCCAGTTCCTACAGGGACCACCTTAGGACCGCCATACTTGTAGTATGCAGTTGAAAGGGAACTAGCGACCGATGGTTTGCCGCTAGAAAACTACTGCGTTGATTTAATGGTTATGTGCAACGAGTGAGGGCGTCCGAGGTCCAAGTTGGTTTCCAGTAGATGCAGTCTGTTCGTGACTTTGGCGGACGTTAAAAATTACCGATTAAGACAACCCCTGAATTGCTTAATCCAGCGCTGGAAAATTTACCATTTTTCTCTTAAAGGTAATGCTTAATTGAAAATGAGCATTGTCGCGGTCGCATTCGTTTGTTGGTCGTATACCACCTTGGTTGGCCCAAAGAAGTCCTGCTTTCAATTTCAACTCGAATGTTGTTTTATTTTTTCAGTTTGTAAATCATCCAAGCATGTTGTGTCCTCATCAGAAGCTGTCGCATCAGACGTTACACCAGAAGAAAAACGCACAGTGACAGAAAAGGGTGACTCGTGCACAGAAAGCTGCAGTGTTTATAGAATGCAGTCGCTCTGCTACCGTATACCTATAGCAATTAACCGCGCTCCCCTTCCTCAGGAATTTTTGCCCGCTAATTGCTTGATGGCCGGCATGCAATTTATTAATTGCCGAAATTTCATCACCCGTATTGGATGTCGGCTTGATGACTGTTCGGTCATCTGGCCCACCGGCTTGCGCGCTCCCCGAGAGGTCAATTGCTTTGGCTAACCTATACCTCAGCGCGAATTATGGAGTGGGAATGTCGTTGCACTTATTGATAAACTGAGGTCCCGTGAATCATAACACAAGCAACTCTCGGCTCACGCGATTATCCCCTTTTGCGATAATTTCGGCCTCATCAAACTCAAATGTGTGGCCGGGTCTCGTCGAATGGGCCGCGACCTGAGAGTTGGCGTCATTTCTCCGCACCGCCGCCACGTGTTCAGCGATTCGCGTCCAAAGCAATTCTCCAGTTTCTCCGACGTAGTTGCTTTGTCCGCAACTGCACCAGATTCGATAAACGGCTCCAGATGTTTCTTGGCGTGATAGTGGGTCTTTTGGTCTCATCACCTGACGCCTAGTGGCTGCCGTCGGTCTGTATGGAACTTCAACCCCAAGTGGTGCGAGAAGGCGAATAACGGCTTCGGAGACGTTCTTGATGTATGGGATCGCTCGCCAGAATTTGGAGTCGGCGCGATTTTGTCGCTCGTCCCGTTTGCACATGCACCAGTTGACGAAGTTGCGCGGGTAACCATTTTTTCTGAAAACCCGTCGAATATATTGAGATTCGACAATCTTGTCTTCCGGTTCAATGCAGTGCGTCTGAAAACGCTGACATAGCGTTCTTACGCAACTTCGTAGTCTGTCCTTACTATTACTTATAACAGCAATTACAGAATGTGAATAACGGCTTCAACTCAACCTCTGCGATGGAATGCACATGGTCGAATGATGCGGCAGTGTTAAATCCGATGACAAGAAAGAGCCGAGTTGTACAGAATGCTATGGAAATGAGTGATGTAGTGTAACACTGAAAAGAGTGATATTACTGCTAGCCAGAATAGTATGGACTAGCTGATTTGGTAGAACCGGTTTTTCCAGAAACGCCGGACCCTCCGTAACCATAGTTGGAGTAGAGGTAGTTATAAGTTTGGTAAGACTGTGGATTTGTCGCCAGAGGCACCGCGGTCGACAATGAATCCGTCCCTACAATGGTGAGGCGGACGGGGAAGCTCCAGCCGATGCTTCAGCAGGGGATGGGGTCTGATTGTACTGCTACGCATTGAACTTCTGTGCAGCGTAGAAACTTGCAGCATAACCCTCGGCCGCCACCGCACCTCTAGGGGTTGTCGTCTGACCGCCAGTCGCTGTTGCTGCACTTGCTCCTGGAGCCCTAATATCGACATTACGTGCAGCCGCGGTTGTGCCATATGAACCTCAGTATGAATTATAGGCTGAGGAGGCATTCGCTTAGCTAGAATCGCTCGGTATCGGCTATTTTGCCGACAGCCTCCACTGCTGATGCTTACAGAAGCGGTGCCGTGATTATTACGGGGCTACTTTCACTGGATGGCTGCTGAGATCCGCGTGTGTTGCCTGCGTATGACCCATAGGCACGTAGGACCCGTAGGAACCCGAGCAATCAGAACAGTCTGAATATTGGCTTTGCTGACCGTAGCCGTAATTGTAAGACTGCTATGATTGACCAGCCAATAACTAGTCCTGTCAATTAGATCTCGTAGGAGCGGCTGAGGCCGATGAGGGTGGGCCCTGGTCGAACCGCGTGCGTTCGCGTGTTAGTGCACCCACGCCGCTCGTGCCCTTACATGCGCCACCAGTTGCCGAAGAGACTGATGAGACTTTAATGTTGCCGTAGTATGGAGAGCCGCCCTGACTGCCTCCACCAGTGGGCGGGTATAAAGCGGTGATGTTGGGTCCACTAATCACTGCGTCATCTGTCTGTAAGCTGAAACGTGAGGGTCGGCTACCTTGAGGGAGTCCAAAAGCACCACCTCCAAATGAGCCAGTTGGCTGAAGAGGCTGTTGGGTTCCGGCTGCTGGTGGGGGGCAGGTTTGGCGACTGCGCTTGACTGAGCGTTGTAGGAACGGTTGCCGGATTGCGTCTGGGTTTCTCCGTAGGAATCGAACGCGTAGTGGTCGCCGTTGCCATAACTCGGCGCATTCCAGGGGCAGGCGGGTTTGCACCACAGAATGTGGAATTAGTTGGTGGCTTTGGACGAGGCGGACCAGGCTGCTGCGAGAAGGATCCGCGGCCTCCAAGATTACTGCGAAATCCAGTGCATTGGTCAAATTCAGGTTTTGCTCCGTACGTCTCGTAGCATGAGTAGGACTATCGGCCTCCTCCAGGTGGAGCAGTACCGAATCTCGAGGCTCTTTGGCGGCAACCGCCAGTTTGGGGTTCTCCATTTGGGGCCTGGCTGAAGTCTGTAGACTCGTCATCGCTATACGCAGCATAAACTGCAGTGTTATTGTCGGGTCTTCCATACTTACCGTAAAAGTCGCTGTTAGACGATCCTGGGGGCCCACTTTCACGATACTTCTTGGCAACCCTGAATTTCTCACTGCCGGATCGTTTGTAGAGCTCGTTGATGATACATGCTATCAAACGTCCTCCTGGAGTCGAAGAAGATGACTTGCGTTGGACGGTCCTGGTTTATGGTTTTTGGCCACTTTTTTCTGAGTAGAGGCTTCTTGTAAGAAATGAGCGACCACAAAGACGTCCATGCTGAGCATCATAAAATAGTCTCCTCAGCTCAAAATAAGTCATTAAATGCCCCTTATTATGTCGTGCCTTGATCTAATGGGATGGCAATTATCGGATTTCAGCCTTCGCAGATGGAGGAGGTGAAGGCAGTTTTATATAAATCCGGCAACTTAACCTTCTTCACCGGCTTTTGGAATATAATCGACACCGGCTGCCATGGTACGTCAACATATTCCTGAGAGAGGAATAAATGGATTCTACATGGACCAGGTGATGAAATCCTTGAATTCGCTTGAATTCGTTTAGGAGTAGCATCATGAGAGTCATCAAGATGCCATTCATGAGTTATTAAGACTTCTCGAAGATTTTCGCCATATTTTGAGGTTTCATTTTGAATACGCCATAGAAGGTTGGAGTCCGTGTGTACTCCAAGACCAAAACAGTCTCGAAATTATCCAAAGGAGGGCCACTAAATCGATTAAGAATCAAAACTCCTTTCTTGATGCAACCGGTCTAACAAACATAATTCATCTGAATTACTGAATCGAGAATTTTTCTACAAGTATTCCGCATTGCGAAAGAATTAGATTGCAGCCTGTCCTTTGACGACTTACTTGAATTTGCTACCACGGTCAACCTCTCACTTCACCCATTAAAACTGCGCTTTCAGTAGGCAAGGCTGGATGTGCGGAGGTTATCTTTCTCAGCCGATGTGGTGAAACCACGGCATGACGTCCCTGTAGATATTGTAGTGCCACCCCTTGTGAAAAGATTTCAGAGGGAACTTTCAAGTCCAGTGTTCTAAATTGAGCCGGATCGACGAGAGATTGAAGTCAGCACAAGTGACTTCTGCTCAAATTTGCCTATCTTTATGGTCTCCATTGAATTATTTTAACCAATATGGTTTTTCTATATACTGCATATATTTTTACGTTGAAAATATGGCAGTCAAGGGTCCACGCCTATTGTCTTACGATAAATTGAATTAGGAGCCATAGAGGCCATATTACGAAGCCGCTTAGACTGGCTCTCAGTCCTGCGGACCGAGTAGTTCCGGCAGTTGCATATTCCGAAGCCGTGATATATGGCGCGTCAGATTAATTACAGTAGATAACATGCTTAGCCTTCCAGTTGTTCTGCCATTGATCCCTCTGAGCCTGTATTCGGCGCCATTGCCCCTTTTTCAGTAGCAATGTTGTTTCCCACTTCCTCGCCCTGCCAAATTAGATGGTTTCAAACGCGGCATCAATTTAAGCAGTCGGAATTGACTCTTCTACAGTCCTTAACAAAAAGGTCTGGTGCATTATGGTCGACGAAAGAGGCCACAGATGGAGCTTTAAGCTGATCCTTTCCAAATTGTCTCTTGAGGGCTGGGAACGCTGTGCGACAAACTGAGGAGGTAGAAGTCTGGAGATGCCATTCTTTGATGATGTCGATTCGGAAACCCCCTCAGCTGTTCCATGAAGGCCGAGCCCCAATTTCTCGCCTCGCCTAGCCCGTGTGGCCACATAATCTTAGTCCGCCTCACTAACCACTTCTTACCTACTCAGTGCACACAGCGCTCATACTAATATCCACGATAGCTGCCAGTGACGACGGATAGACGGTCTGCGCGGATGACCGAAATGGAAACGTGCCATCATAAAGTTATATGTATTATGACAGTGGGCGCTCGCCGATCAGGTTACGGAACATGCTCATTCCATTGCGCCTTGGGGCTCATACTAGAACCCTCGCAGGCAGTCGCACAGGGACTAGTAGTAGACATAGATAAGATGATACCTACAAAGACAAGGGAGACCGGAATGGCAATTTCTGGCTTATTAGCCGTCATCAGCCAGTCATACCCAATCCCAAGTGTGGATCACTTGAGATTCGAACCCGGGATCTTTGGTCATGGAGTTTGATGCTCTACCATTGAGCCACGGGTTCTAGTATGTGCCCCAAGGCACAACGGAACGAGCATGTTCCGTAACCTGATCGGCGAGCGTCCGCTGTCATAATTAATATTCCCGATCACAACCGACAGGACAACGGGCCCGTGGCTCAATGGTAGAGCGTCAAACTCCATGACCAAAGATCCCGGGTTCGAATCTCAAGTGATCCACACTTGGGGTTGGGTATGACTGGCTGATGACGGCTAATAAGCCAGAAATGGCCATTCCAGTCTTCCTTGTCTTTGTCGGTATCATCTCAGTTATATGTATATCTGCAGGTGCTTTATCCTACTCTGCAGAATCGCCAGCCTTTTGACGTCAGCAGTTGCCAGGGTGTGGGCGCCCCACAGACCCAACAAGATGCCAGAACAGCACGACATCGAATCGCTCGTACTGCGCAGTGTTAAATCCCTGCACTAGACACGCGCTGTTTAATCCTACAATCGGCGCTTTTCACAAGCCGCCCGTGTGCTCTTGTGTTGCAAAAGCTGTCCATTCAGATGTTTTCCGTGAAGCTCGATCTCTTCATTTCCAGTCGTCCTGTGTCGTAAGCTTCGGGTAAACATACACTAATGCGGACTCAGCGTTGGCAAAGCGTGTTAGTATGCCTACGTGGGAGTTAATACCGATGTGAATACGCGATATTTTGACAAATTCAGCCTACTGAGGTTAGCTGAGATATAACTGAGGCCGTTCGCGACCAGCCTTCACTAAGCTTGCGTATTTTTTGCATAAAGACTAAGCTCACCGCAAACTCCGGCAATTCTACGGTGCTTAGCGATCACCCTTACGTCCGTTGATGGTCAATTTTGGACGCGGTCTGGCGAATGCTGGTGCTTGGTCCGTAATAGACTATCCAGATTAAGCCATTCATATCCCATTAATCTAAAAGAGAAGTAGGTGTAATCCTAGGGGCGTGATGAGGATGCGTACTGTATTGAGAGCGATCGTACCCTATAAGAACATTTAGGCAGCGGGCACTAGAGGTAAGACTATTAGAGACGCGTAAAGCTTTGGGCAACCTCCCTGTTTTTTAGTTCATTTTTATAAATGCTGACTATATGTTAGGCATTTAGCACTAAGAATGGTACCATACCGCTTCTCGAGCTTTTATGGCGCAAATATGCCAACTCGGTTATTAGTGCAAAGACAGGGGCATCAGATCGATAATACAGACTTCATATTGACCCAACTGTGAAAAACTCGGCGCCTCGGTGGGATTCGATCCCACGCAGTAAGGGGGCAGGCTTTAGTACAGCCAGCGCTCTAACCACCTGAGCTACGAGGCCCCGCCGAACGACGCGGGTTTTATCACACTTGGGTCAAGTTACCCGCCCAGCCTACTGCAACGTCTGGAATCCACCAAATGTGATACAGTAAGTTGACTGCCCAAGCAGGATTTCCTAAGTAATTCACCTAGAATCCACCAGATGACTACTAGGCTCACGTAATTCTTCGATATTTCGGCAGATTTTGAATAATTCATATTGACCCAACTGTGAAAAACTCGGCGCCTCGGTGGGATTCGAACCCACGCAGTAAGGGGGCAGGCTTTAGTACAGCCAGCGCTCTAACCACCTGAGCTACGAGGCCCCGCCGGACGACGCCGGGTTTTTCACAGTTGGGCCAATATGAATTATTCAAAATCTGCCAAAATATCAATGGAATACAGACTTCACTGGGTAGATCATATGGGACTGGTCGTGAGTGCAGGAAGCACTGTGCGCACCTGGCATGCGCGAGAGGTATGAGAAAGCCAACCAACTGTCGGCAGCACTCCTATGTAAGGCGAATTACCACTGAAGAAGGAGAAGATGGGCGTGCACAGATGCCGACGAGAGCCGGTGTTGACTTGAGGTCGTGCGTTTGGGGAACACGACAAACGACTGCCACAGATCCATTCTCGCAGTGCTCTATTTGGTTTGCCACAAAGTCACCCTAGGGCAAACGAACCGGGTTGCGGAAGACAAATGACCCTAGTTAGAGGACCACAGAAAGCCAACTTCTAGCTACTTACTAGAACTATCTCCCTCTGAACCGCGCGTCAGCTGGTATCCTTACTGAAAGTTCCATGAGCTGAGCGGTCCAGCCGTCTGTGATGAAAGTCGGTGACATCATATGCTAGATCAAACAGATTTGCAGTTGTCGACCGAAACCTCGGGAATCTTTAGAAAATCAACGCATATAGCTCCTTCGAAAACGGGATAAATTGGCCGGGAATTTAAGTGGGCTCTCCTTCAGGATGACGGTAATCCCGAGTAGACCCGGCCTCCCCACGAGCCTCGCTATGAATACACGGAGCAGTTCCAAGTGACAGGTAGTTTCGAAATAGGCAGTCTCCGGAATCTGACGAATAAGCAGCCGCAGACAACGCGATGGAAATACTTTCCGACATGGCGGGAACCAAATTGGCAGGTCTAATACCCAGACGGCCATTAAATAAGACGAATGTTGCCCGTCATACAAAAGATCACAGACACCATCTGGCGGAATCCCGAGGTAGCCATGTCAGTGGGGTAGGCAGATATGACGATCTACCAGTTAAGGGACCACAGGAAGTTGTCTATCCACTAATCTACTCCACGCAGCCACCCTTTGGCGCGTTTTGGCGACCAGAAGGTCAGGATCTGAGCGCTCTGGACGGAGTTGTTTACAGCCAACAGCTCCGACAGAACGTTCTTAATGATGTGTAACAAGAAGAAAATGACTTCCTGGGGAATAAAACCGGTTCTTTTTTGAATTATCGATGCGAGGGCGTCCCTGGG